ACAATAGGACCGCTAGCCTGGGGTCTTTAACGTGCATCACACAGTAGTCAAACACGACTGCATGCTGATACAATGCTCATCCAGATCGAAACTGGAAGGGGTGGAGATTGTACCCAGGATCCCTGGGTTCTCTGGCGCGAGCTTTCACTCCACGTGCTCCGAGCTGCAGTCCGCTAACACACCCGGCCACCGATCCCGGCTTTTCGCCGACTATCGATTTTCTAGATCAGTCGGTCAGAATTAGTATGTGCATAAAAAGGAAAACGTATCTTAGCGCACCGCAGTCAGTGTTGCCAACGCAGAAATATACAAAAATGTATGGGAAATTGCTGGGCAATTGGGTTGCATACGTGAAACGTTCTAGCATCACAAATGTTTAGCGATACACTGAGTTTCTAGATGCCTACGTTCACGGCGCTCCTCATCAGATAGTTTAACGCGTATCATGTGTATACTTGATAGTTTTCCCCAGAATGAAGTGATACTGCCGCTAATCGGGCTGATAAACCTGGCGACCTTCCAGAGTTTTCCATACTCTCGAATTCCTCTCCCTCAGTGAGCACAGGTGGTCAGCTCCTCCTCGCCTACCTCACTCCTCCTTGCCTACCCCTTCACACCTCCTCTTCACTCGCCAACCAATCAGTTTCGAGTCTCGCTGCCACGCTTTTATCCGGGCTTCACAAAATACCTAACACCTAGCCAAAGAACAATTCACGTTGAAAAGAAAACCGGCAATATAATTCGCCCCCCCCCCCCCCAACCAGAAAAAAATATAAAGAAAACGCTAAAGACTGCTAAATTTCAAACACAGAGGAAGGATGACTTTTTAATAAAATTTACTGCTATAAATAGTCTGAAAACAGTACAATAAAGAAAATAAACTCGAGAAGGAAGCTCTTTGCTCAGACAACTTCCCGCACAGGACGATGTCCACTCTATCATCTTGTTGCCAGGTACGCTGCCATACCTGCCGACGTAAACTTCATCGTTCCATTTAGAGCCACTGACGCAGTGACTCTAGGGCAGCTAACGTCTCTCTATATAAACTTTGATTCGGCAAATGACTTATTTATAGATTAGATGTCTCGGTATTGACGCAAAAGGTCAGGAGATAAACGCAAATAAGCGCGAGGAGGATACTCCTTTGTTGCAGTCCGCAGCAACAAAGGACGTTCCCCCAGGGCCCTCACGCGCAGTGCGGAGGAGCGAGAAAGCACACGGACTTCGGCCCTTCGGCGACAAGCACACTGCTAAAGCACGCTTCATCGATTTTTGCTTACAAAGGGCAGTGCTCTTCAATCGGAAGTCTTTTCAATTTCTTTGGTAGCTTTGCCTCACTCGCAATTCGTACCTGCCTGCGATCATGGAATTAAAGGGCCCCTCCAGCCTGAAAACAGCAATCGCTGATCTTCACGCCTTGCGCAAGTTTACGTACCTTCAATTACGGTACTACATTATCAAACCAAAATAACTAAGATTTCATCAGGACATTAATTGAAACTCAGATTTTGATGCACACATTTTCGTTTCGTCGCTCGACGAAGCCTGTGACGTAAAAAGATAATACAGCCACTAATCGTGACGTCACGCCTTTTTTTTTTTTTTTTTACCAACATCGAGCCGCTTTCCCGAGACACCCGATATGTATTGGGCAAACTGGCAGATGTCACAACGATCGGCTGGGCGCGCATCACAACACGAACAAGACTGTCTGTTGGGATTCACCGCCGAGACTGTGTAAATCATCGCTGTATTTGTCCTTCTATGTACGCGTTGTTGCTGGTAACATAAACCTGAGATGAGCTGAGCGACACGACGCGACCGACGCGATGAAAACATACGGGACCGGGAAGGCGGAGGAAGGAGAGCCGGAGACGGCATTCTGGTCCTGTTACGTCTAGGCTCGTTTATTCATGAGTTGCGAATTCTTCAAATTGTGAGCTGAAATTTTGTGGACACTTCCACGAGGAGGTTCTGGTGTACCTGCCACAAGGTTTTTACATAAAACTAACGACCCCCATTTTTGGCTGGAGATCAAGCTTGGGCACAAAATTGGCTAAGTTTCCGTCGCTTCGAGGTTTCAAAGAGAATCCACCAGAGGTTCACTCTGATCTTCTGGGCTAGCGTCTGTTCTGGGAGATAACAGAGAGTTTTAGTGGATCGTTCTGACCCCTTTGATAACTATACCCGATGACGATACAAAACATACGCAAAGGCGTTGACGGTGTATCGGGTATCGTTATCGTAGTTATTGCTACGATATAGTAAAACCCCCTAATATTGGCTTTAATTCAATAACGGGAACATGGAATTCCATACTGTTCTTTTTATTGCACATAGCGTTATGAGCTTTTGGCCCGTGCACAGTGTGTAGCCTGGTTCGTACACAGATTTACGTCGGATGGCAACGACGGAATCACTGCGACAAGACCATGCTCCGTACGCCACGTGGTAGCCTGTACAAGGGTTAGATGTGAGAATAAATCGCAAGTCAAGAAGAGGAGCAGCACATTTTACTCCATCTATATGATTCGTCGGTGGGAAGCGACGGGAACAGCTCATTTACTTTCTGAGCATCTGCGAAACATGGTTGTCCTGGCCATGACCCTATCAATCCTGTCGTTTCAGTTACTATGAATGGAACTCACGCAGTTAACGTAATCGGAGTTTGCAACTTTGCAAGTCAGAAATGGACGTAGTTCCGCTTTTTGCCCCATAGCGCGTGATGGGCGACTCTCTCAGTCAGTAAAAACAAAACACGCAAAAAGAAAGGGGGCATATTTAGATGTATTGAGAGTCAAATTGAGTGATTCAATCGCAACTATGGTAAGACGAAAGTTAGAACCGTTTTTCCCCCCTTTTAGATACAGGGTAAAATAAGACCCGACCTTTGCCCGTCAAATGTTCATCATCATCATCAAGCGCGTGAACCTTTCGACCTCCAGCTATGTTTAACCCTGGGATTCTCTCCGCTCATCGGGAACGTACGGAGAGGAAGCCTCTCAAGCTGTGGCCAAGAACGTTATCCAGGTAGAAGAAAAACGAGGCAGAAGTCCAAAATAAGCCCGTAAGGTTGCTTCAAGAGAACCACCTGAATAGTCTATGCGCAAAGATTAAAGGAACAAAGTAGGGGGCACTTAGAAGTATCCTTCTCAGCTAAGACACAAAGGAGGGCGTACCGTTTCAGGCTGTATAGTGTCAGAGAGAGGCACATGGCAGGTACATATGCTAACTTTTATGGCTAAGCAACTGTCTTTAATACAGTGCGATGATCCGTATACAAGATTACAAATTCAGAGCAACTAATTTTACATCTTCAAGCAAACGGATACAATGTCGCCTCAGGCTTTTCCGATAGATATCGGTATTATTCTATACCTCATGTAAATTTTTCGACAAACCATAGAAGAGCACAGCAGCACATAGTTCTAAAACGCGGCGGGGATCAACTTGGAAACCTTGCTGGAACTGCTCCGTGCATACCTAAAAGCGACAGTCGTTGCACTCCAAGGCCAGCACTTTGTAAAAACAAGTGGTGTGTGTATATTAGGCTCTCGTGTAGCCCCAGAACGGTGTGATATGTTCCTAGCAGCATGTGGCAGGACCATCCAGGAAAACTTGAATGATAACAAAATTACAGCTATCTTTAGGTATGTCGATGACTTCCTAATCCTTACTACAACAGAGGTAGAAGATCAAAATAATGGACGAAAAAGAGTCGTTTTACGATGCTTCCAAAAATGCTGCCCAGATTTGGTATTCACGCATGAACTACCCGTTGATAGGTCCATCAAGATCCTAGACCTCCAAATGGAATTTAATTAAATACACGTGTGTTGGAAATATGAACCATGGTCAAGCAAAGGATTTTTTCCTTTTGCATCCGGACATTCCAAAACTGTAAAACGAAGTGTTGTTAATATTGCTCTGGTATCGGCCTTAAACAAATCCTAAAATCATAATATTGGGCAAAGTTTTAACAAGCGAATTTCCCGACTACGTGATTCTGGGTATCCGTTCGGTCTACTGGTTTGCGTGTGTGAAAACATCTGCACAAAACTGAAGCGAAGAGAGACGAGAAAAACTCAATAAACAATCTCAGTAGCACTCTACACCCATGGGATTACCCACAGATTAAAAAAGATAACCGCGAGGGAGGGCATTAAGGTCGTGTGCTTTGCACCAAACAAAGCGTATACTATATGCGCCCCAAAGTAAACCGCAACGCCAAGCAATGGAAAATTTGCAACATCCCTCACAGGGCACAATATGCACCGTGTGAAACAGGGGTTGTTTATAACATCCTTCTATCATGTGTCAAATGCTACATATGCCAGACTGGCAAATGTACTAAAGGTGGTCACGTGAGCATGCAGCATCTCTTAAGGGAACTGCATCACCATTCTCAAAACTTACGAAAATCCGTATGCACGAGAGATGCTGGAGATCGTGGCGATTGAAGAAAATAAAGAAACATGCGTCAGCGTGCCTTCTATCAAGCAACCACAAAAGAAAAAACAGTATTTTCTTTGCGTCACGTCCCGATGCAGCTCACCTCAAGAGGAAAACAGTATTAGGGGTAAGTTCACGTCCTGCTGACGTACGGTTTTTTCAATCTGGGATTGTACGTGGAACGTATGTGGCTCTCATTTTATTTAATCCTTGGATTGTATGGGGTTGCATGGCGCTCCCAGGATAAGAAGAAAGGAAGAACCAGGTAGTTAAGTTCAAGACGAGGAACACGCATTAAATCCATAGTTGGTAGTCCAGCAGTATCTCTATCTCTGTCACTCCCTTCTATATTATCTTTTTTTTTTTTTACATTTCTTCGTCCTACTAATGCACCAACTAGCTCAACTCAAGCCCGTAACTATGTTCTAACCATACAAAACCAGCGCCTGTCGATGGTGAAAGCGTCAAATATGTGGTGGGTTTCATATGAAAGCAGTGGTGGTGAGTTGGGTACATTCATGTCCTTTATTTCCCTCAAAGTGTTACAGATTTTGGCGTATAATGGACGAAAGACAACGCTTCATTATTCAAGGTTCGTTTTTTGTTTTGTTTTGTTTTTAAAAAATGCAATCTTAAAGAGGCTTTAAAGATCTTCGTCAATGACATCTTTAATTGTCTTTCAATCGCAAACTATTCGCGACAAACCCCTAATATGTTTTGGGGTAATCTGTACATGGATTACCTAGCCAAGCAAACATCAAAATAAATTTGAGTCTTTGTTGCTTAGAATTGTGTTAAAAGAAAGTTCTAAACATGCCTTCGAGAACATGTTTCCCCCAGACTTCTTCTCATTATTTTTTCCTTTTTTGGCGTAGAGTTTTTTGTAGTATCTCACTGAAATGAAAGTCACGTACGAGACGTGTCCTTGCCTTCAAAACAATATACGTTTATGTTTTTTTTTTATTTATAATGATAAATAAATTAATTATAAAAAATTATAAATTTGTTTGTATATTTTTCAGAGACTTGGCATTGCTAAACTAGAAGAATGAACTCCTCTTCACAAACCAAACTATGTGCAGGCTCAAAAAACAATATAAAAAATCTGTAAAACGAGAGAAAAAAAACTTTTGTTTGAAAGTGTGTTGAAAGTTTACGAAATAAGAAAGTCGATCATTTTCCAATATATATTTATTAATAAAACCAAATAAATACAAACAATGTATATCGTTAAGAAGGCAGTGAAGCGTGTTTTACGCCCATGATTATGAATGTAATACTCTTAAAATTCTACACGCAAAAGAAAAAGAAGAGGTTTGGGCAAAATTGTTTTTAGTGGCACGTGCATGGTTTGGGACTTTTTACAACATTTTATGCTAAGTATAATGTACTAAACCTTATTTAAAATTTGATCTAACTAGGTTATCTATGAATTATTCTAAAAAAATGCATGGGGGGTCGGTCGCTAAGAATTTGCAATCGAGTCCAAATACAAAAATAGCCATCGACGACAACCGTCGAATTCTTACCGGGTCCTTTCCCGCACGTTTGAGATTTTTAATGCCAAAAAAGGTCTCGACGTTCAAATAAGAAGCGCTGTCTGTCATGCGGTATGCGCTACAATATATGTATATAAGAAGAACTACGGGGAATTGATTACACTGTTTGAGTTCAAATGAAACCGGCCATATAGTATATTGTCCATTTACCGTGGGAGATTGTGTTTAGTAAACACACGTATGCGCTGCCCTACACGTGTTCTTAAAAACTCACTTTATGATGAAAAAAAAATGACTCTTAATTTTTTTCTATTTGGGTTGACTAAAAAGAAACTGAGATGTTGCTTGGCAAGCTTCAGCGTCCCCCACTACAGCGGAGAAAACAGCATGGTAAGCGCAATATTCATAATACTAACGACACACACAAATAAAAAGTAGCTCATAGGTTCTAGGGAAAAAAACAATAAATCATTCCAGGTTTTTGTTTTTCTTGTAACAGCCGTGAGAAACACTAACAAAACATTGGACGCAAATTCTTCCTGGTTTCACTCAATATTGCTATAATTAGCTGGGTCAGTTGTGTATGACAATGATTGTCATGTTTGTACCTCGGCTTGTTAGAAAAAAGACACATACTTCGAAACGGCAATCGTTTCTGCAGTGTTTGCGAGCAGAAATCTAAATGTTCGTCTAGTACAAGAACCCTTCCATAGCTCTCTCCATCCCTTTAAACTCCCGTGCCTTCATCCGGGCGTACAACGCCACCTGCGCAGCTGATTCCATCGGGCACCCTTGACCCTTTTTAATGGCTCCCGACTCGGCAAATACGGACGAACCGTGCCCGGGGGGGGGGGAGCGCTCTGTCCGTTCAACGCGCACGCAGAGACGGCTCCTTTCTACCCGCAATGGCCAGGAGTGGCGTCGAGAGAGCCCCTTTGCAACGAGCCGTCCCAAGTTTCTCTTCTATTGTGCTCCTTTCCGGGTCTTCTAACGGGAAGTAATGAGGAAGCTCGGCCGGTCCCAATGGACGCCCGACGCGCATGCGCCGCCCGCCAGCAACGAGTCAAGCAGACGAAAAGAAGATGGCCGACCGCAGCAGGCACGCGCGCTGCGACAGCTCCAGGAGGGATCGGGCGGCTCGAACCACGTGATGCTATCACGCAAGGTGAGTAGCGGATACGGTTTTGATCTTTCACCTTTAAACGATCGCGTGAAAAGTTATGGATGTCCGAAGGGTTCATAAAGGCTGTCATCGGTAGTCTTGGATGGTTACGCTATCTTCTAGGGCACATAGGGATCATGCTTTTTCGTGCTCGTTTCGGTAACCTTCGTGACGTTCATCGAGGGGATATTCATTCGTATGTGCAGAGCACGGCAAAGTTACCACGCGTAAGTCACCGCCGGTTTTTGTTTCCTGTTTTCCATTGACGAGCGAAAGGCTGTGATCAAAAACTAACTGCGCGCTGGAGAAGGATCACCTGAGGCACGAACGTTGGCAAAAATTCTTTGTTCTTCTCAACATACTGTTGGAGGGAAATTCGAATAAGGGACGATGTTGTGTTTGCGTTAAGTGTCGCGCGGTGGAGCGGGCCAATTTTTCTACATCATTCTGCGGAACGCTGAAAAAGTGTTTATCGGTAACATTATCTCAAGGAGAAGCGCTAGTCAGTCAACCCATAAAATCGCTTTAAAACAATCGGCGCGCACGATTAAAGTAGAAAATAAACCTAATGACGAAACAAAATCTCAAAAAGTTATGACGTTTGTAACATAGAAAAAAAAAAAAAACCGACTCTAGTACGACGCAGCAGGTGTTCTGACGTCACAAGAGTACATTTTTGCTATCGCGCGATAGGTTCTGTATTTGGGTGTTCATGATGTCTGTCCTTTCGCTTTGGGGGGGGTTATCATGCTGTTATGCTATAAGAAAAGCTGTTTTCCATCGATTTGATCTAAAGCCCCTTGATACCAATTCAGGTTTCACAAACACATGAAGGTGCTTTAATAACATCTGGCGAAGCATTAGTTGACCGAAGTGCATGGGGAGACGCAAAAACTTCTGTCGCCGGAGACCATACGTTAACCATTATTATCAAAAGAAATACAGAAGATGCAATTTTTCCACTTTGGTGCTAATGGCAACCGAGCAAATGCTCAGCCGTCGGTTCACACCGTCCTCTTACCGGAATAGCTTTTTGTATTTTGAAAGGAAGAACATTAATACATGGAGTATTAATGGAGGTAGGGCTGAGCAGCAGAAATTACGAAACCTTTTCACAAATTTTCAAATCTAGACATTTCCCAGAGAAAAAAAAATTAACAAAAAACAGCTGATCTGAGGAAACACAAGGCTACGACGTGTGCGACCAAAAGCGTCGCTCTGGTTGGCCTTCCAGGATTTTCCAGACTCTCACTGCGACGTCTTGAGTACTGTGAATTCTACTTTGATTCATGGAACTAAGAAGAATGTTATACACTGTCAACTGTAACGGTTTTGCGGAAGCGATTACTACAATCTGCCACTGTGCTTTTTACACATAGCATCGAAATTGTTGCTGCCAATCGATAGCCCATGGTTATGACGAGCCACCGAAACATCTCGTTTGCGATAGTCCCGACGTGCTGCCCGAATTGAATCGAATATTTTTTTTTTTTTTTGCCCCTTCACCTGTACCTTTACAAATCACGTCCAGGTGATCATCTCGGTCGCCCAAGAAAACAACTGACTCCTCGGTCACGAGCTAGGGGCGGCCCAGCGAGTCATTATAATGGCTGCAGCAGCCATTATACGCCGCATTGGCAGTCGATGATGTGCAAAGGCGCCATACGCGTCTGCCCCTGACCGACGCTGTTGGAACAACTGAGGTCCGAGAACACAATCGCGAACCAAATGACCCAAGTCATTAGTGAGCCAGAGGATCGCGACGACGAGCGTCCCAGGAAAAGGACCACTTCTTGCTTTCCGACCGGGGTTATAAGAAGAAAAGAAGTTGACACATTGCACGTGCCGCCATAATGATACAGATTGGAGGCGTCAGTCCATACATGGCTTGCACGCGACGTCATAGCATTATGCTGGTGATCGTTCCTACTCGTTCTTGCCGAGAAAAAAACAAATTCGAGGGAGCGAAACGTGTGCTGCGGGAGGTACGCGCTCAACGTGTGTCGCTAGTGCAAGCCACGTATACGTTCCGATGGCCGCGCATGGGCGCCGACTAACTGAGCAAGTTAGAAGAAAAAAAACCACTAAAAGCATGTGTAATTGTTTTTTTTTTTCTTTTTGTGGCAGGTTTTACGCAACTATGGCCACTGACAAGGGGAGAGCGACAGGGAGGAGCTTCAGTTGTCCAGCCTCTAGCGTGAGTTTGGTATACCTCCGACAACGTTTTGGCGTCTACCGCACCTCGAGCGCGCGCGGCCAGCCAAGGCACAGCGGAAGGCACGGAGTTCGGTCACTGGAGGAGTTCGAAAGGCACAGGACCTGCTGTTCTTGGTGTGCCAAATCCGTTCTTGAAAGGATTCTTGAACGCCCCAAGAACTCTTTCAGCTCTTGAAGAACGGTTTCGCCTCAAACACTATCGCCCCCTAGCGCACTAACAGAGGCAATTGGTCAATGAAGGACTCTTTCGAATATAAAAAAGGAGCCTAAAAGAGCCCCTTATAGGTTTTTCACGAGAAGCCCATTTAGGGGGTGCTTAAAATAACTTTTTAGGGTGCAAAATATGGACGAGCCGAAGAACCCGTAAGAGGGTTTTTACGACCAAATTCCTTTTTGTGTGTGTCTGCATGTGTGTGTGTGTAGGGCGTGTTTCTCTTTGTTCGTGGAGTGCGCAAATTCGAAATTCGCACACAGCACGACAGTTTACGCGAAGACGTACGACACCCGCATCTTTTCATATCTCTATATGGTTATAAGATTCAATCTTATCAACGTTCATTTACGGTACATTCCGAAAATATAATTCCTGATTTGGTACATTTTAGAACGCTATTATATTTCACGGCAAACTTTCAGTTGCAAAAAAAAAAAAAAAAAAGCAAGCAAAAAATATCCGGAGACTTCGGAGTCGTACCAACTGTGTCGCGCACTGGATATGCCTCCTGTTACCATGCGGTCTCTGCGTGTAGTCGCGGTGCGGGTAAATTGCACGGAAAGATAGAAACACACGTACTGCGTTGCGGCGCTTTTAGATTTTAGTATTGAACATTTTTCTGGAAGGGTGTACTTCGCATGAGGGAGCTGTCTTCCGCATACTAAGAAAGTTTGCACCCTTCAGGGTGTAAAAAAAAAAGCTGTTTCAGATACTTTAACCCATGAGTACTCTATCAACACCCTTATCTGGAGTAATACATCATTTTTAATTGCAAAATATAGGGCTGTGGTATAGAACACCCTTACTTTTCGGAGTGTGTAAAAAGGGCGTTGACAAGAGTGTTACGGTGAAGTAGGGCGACATCCTTTGTGAAGGGTGTTCGCCCTTCAATAGCAGCTCGAGCCGAGGTTGTTTTAGCTACAATCACGAATAAATATTGCCTGTATCACTGCTTTGCCAGATGCATACCTTGAACGTAGATATATTCATTATTTACGTAACATATATTCATGAGAACAAATTGTCATACTCGTAACCTTCATAATTACGGAGACAGTCACCCGCAAATTGTCTGTGAATTGTCGAGCATATAAATCGGTGGAACATTCAACAGGGTAGTGGTTCCTCTCTCGTGCGTAATTAATTGTGTCCGCATTCATCGTCCCCGCGCACGTGAGAACTGCGTATGGTGTTTGTTGCTCGTAAACGGTTTTCTGGTCAAGTGATATCCCTACGAAGCGGCAAAGATCGCGAGAATCTTGCTTTTTCGGTGCTCACCGGCGGTGCTGTTGCAATACCCTTATGGCGGAGCCCTGGTACCGGCTAATTCCCACCCTTAAATGTGCAAATCAGCTTTTATATTACACTCTTAAGGATGTAAAGTAGTTAGTGCGCGCTTATCGACACAATACTGACCGTTATCTGGTGGCAACAAGAACGTACTTCTGTTTCGTACCCTTCACTACACTGAGCGGAACGTGCAGGTCTCTGATCTACCGTTTGATGGCATTCTACGCCTCCAACAAGTTTTCACGCGTTTGCAACTGAATGCCATCTTTATGCAAAAAAAAAAAAAAGTTCGTTGCGGTCTGTATTTTCTAAAGAGCTAGTGAAAACAGTCGTCTTTTGAGAGTTTAAAAGAAGGATCCCGTGCCAAAAAAAAAAAAAAAAAAAATATTAATCTATATGATTACGTCATAGAAAATAATTCTTGCTTCATTCTTTTTTCTCTTTGCAAAGAAAGTGACATTAAATGTTCCGCGGTCGCCTCAAATGTAGAACACAAGCGTGGCGGTTAATGCCTCGCCGAGTAGTAGGCGCACCGTCATTTAGCCCACGGGGGAGACGTGGACGGCCCATGGCAGCGGGCCTCGAAACTTTTCCGCTCGTCCATCCTTCAGCGCTGACAGCAGGAGACACCCCAGGTTGGAGTGAAGTGCGCCCTCGCTTCGCGATGAGGTGCGCACTTCGACGACTCCGCGCACCGACGACGCGCGCCCTCGAAACAATTACGAGGAAGTTGTCGGATTCCATATTCCGCTTCACACTGAATCCGAGCACAGCCGTCGCTCTATATGGAGTCCGGTGGAGCCACTCAAGCAGCGGCGGTAAAAAGTGCATCGTCATCTTTGGGAGTTTGCCATCGTCCGCTGAAGCAATCACGCACAGTAAATGAGCCGCGGTCCTGCGTTCTGTGGCGACGCACTTTTAGCGTTGTTCAATTGGCTTGATTGGCTCTGTTTGATTGCTTCGATTCGCGCACTGTTTGATTGCGAACTGTCCAGTTCTTATAATGAGGTCTGGCCCATATATACAGCGTTCTTGTCTCTGCAAAGGTGTTTCGTGTCGAATAAATAAATAAGAGAGAGCTTGGGGGCGTTACATATATAACTGTCGGGACTCATCTCCCACCTGCGGGCTTCGATACAGATGCACAGGCACCTTAAGTCTAGACGCAGCCGACGCTACGAGCTGATGGGACCAATCAGAGAGCATCAAAAGGGCACCATCGTGGTGTTCGTCGTGTTTTTGTATCCATTATCACCGAACAAATCATAAAGAAAGAAAAAAA